ATTCTGGGAGTTGAAGTCCGCCAGGCTTCCAGTGGCCAAGGTTGGAGGCCCCTGCATTAGCTAGTTTTCAGATGATGCCACTGAAGGACAGTCATTCCCAAGAATCGGAGCTCCTGTGAGATGGTCTTTAGTGCTCTCATTCTGCCCCATAGCTTTTATGGATAAACACACACGGTGGTTGCCTGGAAATTACAAATTAGGTTCCGCCAATTTTCATCCAAAACCTGTCACTTCTGGCCCATCTTCTTTACCCAATCATATCCTCTAGCTCTCCCCATATGCCTACCTGTGGTTGATAATGTGATAAAGGAGAGAGAATGCATCGAATCTGAATGCAGGTCAAATGGAAATACTGCTGCTTCTACCAAGCTGATGAGCTAATTCTGCTTTACTGTAGGGCGACCTTAACAGGATCTTACAAGTCTGAAAATACAAACTTTTACCTTTGATGGTTCCCTAGGCAGCAATTCTTCCCAAGGTCATTCCCAACATTTGCCCTACCAGTGTTGATGGGGGGTGATTTTCTCCTCCATATTTCCTCGATTAGGGCGTTGTTTTCTGCTTGATTAATTGCCTGGTGTTGATTCCTGCTTATCTGGAATGGTGGAGAGGATCTTGTTCCCCTCCTCTTAGTACTTTTCTTGTCTCTTTTGTGTGGTGTGACCCCTGATCTAGTTGAACGTGCTTTTTTAATCAGAGTTTGTCTGCATGTTATTTCTCCTTTACAAAATATGAAATATTCCCTATATCCTCTTTTGCAGGCTTACCATCTATTTCCTCTTTGCAAGTGCTGTCATTTAAAAACGGCAGAGCTATTCTGTTGCTCAACAATTGTGTGGTTGCACATCTGGTTTTTCCTGGAGGAGAACTTGGGGAAGAGGTGGAAGGCTGCTTTAGACTTGATTTGCCCCCACAAGCTTTGGAAAGGACAGTGAACGTTACTTTCTGCAGAGGTATTATCTTCTTGTTAGATGAGACGGGATGGATACGTATCCTTTAATATAAAGCTGGTGTTGGGTGAGCTTCCAAGGACTGTTTGGCCATGTCCCAGGTTGGGTAATACTGAAATCTAAGAGTGAAAATTGACCTGCTAGAGATTTAGCACAGCTTGACTGTGAAAAAGGCAAAAAGGACCCTGTTGATGCAAGGGGTCATGCAGGGTGGGTGAGGAGGACACAGAAGGGTGGTTGGGGGCTCTATAGATCCCATGGTTTGTATTCTATGAGGTGTTCACCTTTGCTTCTGGGCAACCCAACCACACTGCTCTTGTATTTGTCTTGTATCGGCTTCTGTTCTGGCCCTTCCTTGACCTCACAAGAGCCTTCAAGAATCCACTCTAGAAGAGCGGATTACCATAAAACAAACAATTTTCCCTCCTAAGACTCATCAGTGGCATGTAGATAAACACGAAGAGTGAAATGTTTGAAATCCTTGCATTCATTTCCAGGTCTCTAGTGGGAAATTATGCACATTAATTATACATCTTCATTGACTTAAAAATACAGCGGTAATATGTTTCCATGAAAGCAGGGATGGAGAGTTATTTCAGCAATTGTTAAAAGACTTGACTTAAGAAATGAAGAAAAGAGTATTTCTTGTTATAATTAGATTTATGGTGGAGGTTTTGATCCCAGCTGTGTCATCTTTCCCTAGACTGGAATAACCCTGTCATTTGACAGTTGATCTTTAATTGGTGCATCACAGGACATAAAAAGATTGATTTTTTTAAAAAATGTATTTTCCTGCCAGCAAGTTCTATTGAACGTATAGCTTGCTTGATTTCCTGTGCACGTTTACTCTAAAATAAGATGACATTGCCCAATGAGGCTTCATCTGAAGCGGGAATGCATACAGTCGTGCTCTTTGAAGGGTATGTTTCTTTTTGTCCTGTTATTTCAACAGCCTGTGAAATTCTTTAACTTTTGCAAAGACATATTTGGCGCTACCGATGGCGCCTATTTGGCCCACATCAGTGTCGCTCTCTATCAGTCACGAGGGCAAGACGAGGGAGACCAGGACGTGCCACTTCCTCTTGTGCGGCTTAATATATCATATGACCTCAGCATGGCTGTGGTTGTCAGCCGCTCCAATTGTGTGGCTGCTGTTGACCTCAACTTGTACTTCAGGTAGGTGGACGACAATGTTTGAAGGCTATTTCTCAAAGGCTGCCTGATTTCCAGTATAAAAATCATTTATATACATGATTTATACGGCCATCCATCTCGCTTGAGTGATTCTGAGTGGTTTATAAAGATTAAGAGCATGAAAACCATACATATAACTCCTCCTGCCCAAGGATAAAACAGTAACCCCCACATCAACGGCAGCAGGACTCACCTAATCTCTTGACCCAAACGCCTGGGGAAACATCCAGGTCTTCAGTGCCTTAGACTAACAGGGCTGGGGTCATCCACGTCTCCCATGGGATGCAGGCGGCACTTTGTGTGAAGGAATGCCCTCTGTGTTGTGGTCCATTGGCGGCCTGCGGAGCTGGCAGCAGAGTCGGACAGTGGGGAGGAACATGGGCCAGTCCTGGAGTCTGGGAAGGGCTCGGACAAGGGATCTGCATCCAACACAGAGATGGGGCCAGGGCCATCAGAGAGTTATGTGCTGACTCCGGAGCTTCCAGAATCTGACATCAGTGAGGCAGAGGAACAAGGGGAGCCTGTTCCCAGTACGCCCTTGCACAGAGCTGCCAGAAGGCAAGGACAGTTAAGACAAAAGGGGTGACTCGGGGAGTAAGGCTTGGAGAATATTGGCCCCTCCCATAAGACATAAAGGAGGAGAAAAGGGACATGAGCCTTTGCAGGAAGCAACTTTGTTCATTCTGGTTGGTTTAAACTCTGAAGCTCCTTGTTGACCTTGTGTTCCGTTTGGCCTTGTATAGCGAATTGGCAATTTAGTCGTTGGCAGCATTTCAAGGGATATAAAGGTGGGTGCTTATCAGCCTTATCCCGAAAGAATGTGGCAGACTTCTATTGGACTTTGATAGTGAATACCCACAATTTGTTCTTTAAATAAGACAGGACTTCCCATACCCACATCTGATTTTCACCCTATTGATTAAAATGCCTGAGTCAGTTCCCGTCAAATGAACCTAGGGCTTCCATGCTTTGGCCATAGACAAATCTATAGCTTTGGATCGTTTTCCTGAATCAATGTAAAAGTATAATGTTATGGATTCATTTGTTTATTTGAGGTCTGTCTACATCCATCCATCCATCCAACCAACCATCTACAAAGACGATTAGGGGACTGGAGGCTTAAACATAACGATGAATGGTTACAGGAACTGGGCATGGTTAGTCTATTGAAAAGAAGGACCAGGGGAGACAGGATAGCAGTGTCCCAATATCTGAGGGGCTGCCCCAGAAAGGAGGAAGGGGGTCAACCTATTTTCCAAGGCACCTGAAGGCCAGACAAGGAATAATGGATAGAAACTGATCAAGGAGAGGTGCAACCTAGAAATGAGGAATTTTCTGACCGAGCAATCAACCAATGGAACAGCTTTTCTTCAGAAGTTGTGGGAGCTTCATCACTGGAGGCTTTCAAGAGGAGACTGGACTGCCATCTGTCAGAAATGGTGTAGGGTCTCCTGCTTGGGCAGGGGGTTGGACTAGATGACCCACAAGGTCCCTTCCAACTCTGTTAATCTGTTTAATCCCCCACAGAGAATATCCTGACCATTTATTTTGCAAGCAAAGCTTTGAGAATCTTCCTACGCAACAGTTGGAGGGGGTAAATGAAGATGGCCTCAGTAGTTCAAGTTACAGCATGAAGTTCTTGCAACCTTCATTTCAGACGGACAGGTTAGTTGGCAAAAGGTACTTTTGTGGTGACAAGATAAGAGTTGTTTCATTGAAAAGTGTAATTCTTACATCTTTATTTTATATATCACCGAAAATGTTAAGATTTCCCCCCTCCCCCTTTTTTTTCCAGATCACGGAAGACACACGTACTACCTTTGAATGATACACACATACACAATTATTTTCCACTTTTGTGTACAAATGTGGAGTTGCCTTGGTATCAGCACGTTCTGCACTTAGAACCTCTTAACTCTAAGAGTTTGGACACTTCCGCCGCGTCCCTGTTTCAAGAGGTTGCGCTTGTTCTTTCAAGCTCCAGGGGGAAAGATAATAAAAGCGCTGAGGAGAGGCGATGGAAGAATATACACTTGGGTGACCTAGAGGAGCGTGGGAATCTTGACTGTAAACACGTGACTGGTTCCCAGGTGCTCTTCACTGCCTCAAGTGAAAGTGAAGGACTGACTCTTGTCCTGTGGGATTTGGTGACGCAGGACGTCACGCAGTCTTGCGTGGGGAAAAACTCCTTTTTTGTGGAATATACCAGGGAGGAACCCCTATGGCTTGTCCTTTCAGGTGAGCATCTTTGATTTTAATTGTAGATAAATATTTCACCTCTAGAAAATTTCAGAGTTGAAGTCGTTTTCTTGACGTTAGGAGGGAGTTGTGTTCAAATCACTAAACAATGAGCACTGTGGAAATAACCTCTCTCCTTTTGTGACAATCCTTAGAGACTGGCCTCTTCTTGTTCCTGTTTGGCTTTACCCAAGAGGAATTCCTAAACAGGCTGATCATCTACGGAAGCGCTAGCACTGTAGATTCCCTTTGCCGCCTCAATAGGTGGGGAAGGTGTTCGATTCCTGTACATGCCTTAGAGGTGAGGAAATAAGCCCGGGCCGTCCTCGCTTCCAGGGTTGGGGGAAGCCGTGTCTTTCTGTCGCTGAGGATTTTCTGGACGACTCCAACTCTTTCCCTGGTGCCTATGAAGCTGTGAGGCCCCGGCCATCCATTCTAGAGCAGAAATATTGATTCCCCACACTTTTTGCTCCAAATGGTTCTGGCACACAGCCAGTGGAGACACAAGATCTCCTGCTGACAAGACAAGAAACTGACTTGATTAATTCCAGCACAATTTTTTTTTCCGTATTGTGAAGATTGTTGTGTTTTTTTTAAGTATTACCATTTGTATTTTAGCGCCATCTGCATATTTCATCTATTATTTATTATCTTTAAAGAATCCCAAATCTTACGTAAACCACTGGTCCTTTTTGTTCTATATTACAAAGAAATATTGACTATTCCTTGGCTACAGTCAATGTTAAGTTACAAATCTATGTAAAAGTAAGCTGTAATTAGCATATCATCCAGCACTTATTCAAATATATACAGAACAAATATGTTACTTAGAAAAGATCATATTCA